TAAAACTAATTTATTTTTTATTTTCTTATTTTTGGTACTGGGGCTAGAACACAGCAGGGCCTCCTGCATATTAGGTAAACACTCTACCACTGAGCTACACTCACAGTTCCTAAAATGGATTCATCTTTTACTTTCAGGAACTAAAATCTCTTGGCCCAGAAGTTTCTACCACTTAAGTAATTTTGATGGAAAATGTATGTCTCTGTGAGAAATTTTGGGATGAGGACAGAAGGTGGAGATGGATAGTCCCCAAATGAAACAGAATGATATAACAGAAAGTTAAATCAGTATGTCTCTTCACACCCTTTCATTTTTTTATCATAAAACAAAATGCATGCCAGGTGTGATGGTGCAGGCCTGTAATCCCAGCTCGGGAGGCTGAAATAGGAGGATAACAAGTTTGAGGCCAGCCTCTGTTAGGCCCTTAGCAACTTAGAGATAACCCGGTCTCGAAATAAAATAGCATGGGAATATAGCTCTGTGGTAAAGTGCCCCGGGTCCATTCACCAGTACCAAAAGATATAACAAAAACACACACAAAAAAATCAAATACAAGCTGGACGTGGTGGCGCAAGCCTGTAATCCCAGTGTTAGGTAATAGCTGGTGATGAGAAGTGAAATGCAGGCAAGGTCCCAGGTGTTCTTTAAATTACTTTAGGGTTTTCTTTAAACTACTTCCAAAGTAAACAAGAAAGCAAAATGTGATAATTTGTAGAAAAGAAACAGAAGCAAAAGGAGCTAATTGGGAAATATGTCAAAAGAAAAGGATTAATGGGACTAACTCTTGATTGAGTCTATTGATTTTGATATGAAGCTAGGAATTATGGATACAAGTATCTCCATTTATCTGGGGAGGAAGATTTCTTTAGAAGTGCAGGCACACCAAGGTAACTTCTGACCAGCAATTGACCCCAGTGACCACATGAACATGGAACTGATTTGTAGATGAAGACCCGCAAATAGATGGCCACCATGACAGTTCCGGAGAGGACCAACTAAGGTCAAAAACTCGTCTGCCCGACAGGAAGGAGGAATTAAACACCTGATTGGTGAAAGTTGCTGAAGAAGGACCCCAATTTTCAAATTAACCATAAAACAATATCAAAATCAGGGGCAGCATTGTCTCCTTTATTGTTTTCTGATGGAGTCAGCCCACTCTCCCTAGAGAGTGCTTTTTGCTTAAACCTACTTTACTTTCACTTCTAATAAAGTCATCTTGCATGACTTTTGGTGTCTCAGTTTAAATCTTCTTCCACTGGAGCCCAAGAGCCAAGTTTGGAGTTTTAGCTCCCTGGTTTCCTGTGACACCAGCGGCTCAGGAGGCTGAGGCAGGAGGATCACAAGTTCAAAGCCAGCCTCAGCCTCAGCAAGGCACTAAGCAACTCAGACCCCATCTCCAAATAAAATACAAAATAGGGCTGGGGATATGGCTCAGTGGTTGAGAGCCCTTGAGTTCAATCCCTAATACCAAAAAAAAAAAAAAGTCAAATGCGTATATACTAAAGAATAATTATTTACCATGGTGACATGCCTATAATCCCAGCAACTCCGGAAGCTAAAGTAGGAGGATCACAAGTTCAAGACTAGCCTCAGCAATTCAGTGAGACCCTCAGTAATATATCAAGATCTGTATTAAAATAAAATTTAGAAAAATAAATAAATAAAAATAACCCAGGGATTCCATCCCCAGTACCAAAATAAAATAAAATAAATGAATGAATGAGATAAACCACAAAGGAGAAAATAAAATTTCCGCATAATCCCATCACTCAGTATAATTTAGTGGTTTCTTCATTCGGCCATTCATTGTGCAGTCACTATGTAACAGGCATTGCACAGGCCGGGGCACCACTGCAAACAAGATAGACATAGCCTATGATTTGGTAGGGCCAATTTTATAGAGCAGGGTTCAAAGCAAATTATGGCCCAAGGACCAAGCACAGCTAGAGGCCTGTTCAGTAAATGGAGGTTGTCATGTTCATTTACATCTTTTCTCTGCTTTTTACACTAAAACAACATAATTGAGGAGTTGGAACAGAGACCCATGATCCCCAAATCCTAAAATATTTATTTACTGTTTGGCCTTTTACAGAAAAAGTTTGCCAATCTCTGTTTAGAAAGAATTGGTAACACAATTACCTGTGCAAAGGACTGTGTCAAATTAATTTTCTGTGCAAGAGCTTTGTGTCAGTTTACTCAGTTACTCCAAAATTACTCCAATGGCTCATGATTGAAATTATTTTAAGATGTTTTTTCTAATGCTTAGAAGGGAATTTGTATTGACCTAAAAAATAGCCAATAAATTTATTTTTTTTATTTTTACTTATTGGTACTGGGGACTAAATCCAGGAGTGTTTTACCACTGAGCTAAATCCCCAGGCTTTTTTCTTTTCTTTCTTTCTTTTTTTGAGACAGAATCTCACTAATTTGCTTAGGGTCTCAATAAATTGCTGAGGCTGGCCTCAAACTTGAGATCCTCCTGCCTCAGCCTCCTGAATCTCTGGGATTACAGCTGTGCACTATCACACCTGGACCAACTATTAAATCCTTAAAGCTAACTTAACTTTCTAGTTCAGATAGTGCCTAGAACAACTCCTATATGCTAAGTGGTGGTTATGGAAAAATAAGAAAAAAAAAAAAGGTGGTTAACTTGTCATAGACTTGGGAGCTAGCAGAAAACTCCAGCAGGAGATTGGTTAAACACTGTCTAAGCATGTGATGGAAGACCCTAGTAGGTATGTAGATGTTTTAGAAGAATAGTATAATATTTCATGACAATGCTTATATTTAGTAAAAAGATTAGGTTATAAAACATACAACATGAAAACAGGTACAGTGATGCCTGCCTGTAATCCCAAAGACTTGGGAGGCTGAGGTAGGAGGATTGCAAATTCAAGGCCAGCCTCAGGTATCTATCTATTTATTTGTTTGTTTATTTATTTATACCAGAGATTGAACCCAGGAGTGCTTAACCACAGTGCAATCCTCTTGCCTTAGCCTCCTGAGCCTCTGGGAGATTACAGGCATGCACTCCACCCCCACCCCCAGCCTCAGCAATTTAGCAGTAGAGACATATCTCAGTGGTGGAGTACCCTGGGTGCAATCCCCCGTACAAAAAAAGATAGAAGAAGGAGAAGGAGAAGGAGAAGAAGAAGGACAGCCCTGGGTTCAACCCCCAGCACTGAAATATATATTCCTTGAATTCCTTGATTGCATGGTCAAATGTATTATCCCAGAAAACATTTCTCTCCCATCAGAGAATAGGGGCAGGTCAGCACAGTCACCTGTGAAAGACTTCAAATAGGAATGGTTTCCACAGGCAAAAGTTTTTTTTTCCTTGATTTTTTCCTCTTTATCTTTTTTAAAAATTTTATTTATTTATTTATCTATCTATCTATCTATTTATTTATTTATTTAGTGTTAGTGATAAAACCCAGGGCCTTGTGCATGTTAAGTACCTGCGCCCAAACTAAAAATTTTGTATTTACAAAAAGTTTTCCCTTTAAGATTAAGAAAGAAAGGCTACTGCAGGGTGTGGTAGCACATGCCTATAATCCCAATAACTCAGGAGGCTGGGGTAGGAGGATCACAGGTTTGAGGTCAGCATCAGCTATTTAGTCACGCCCTAAGCAACTCAGTGAGACCCTGTTTCAAAATAAAAAATAAAAAGGGCTGGGGATGTGTCTCAGTGATTAAGTACCCCTGGATCCAATCCCTAGTACCCCCCCCCCAAAAAAAAGAACTTTATAGATTGGTTAGAAGATTCGTGCACAGGGAAGAGCCTAGACAGAGAAGAAGTACGCTGGGCATGTTTTGGAAGAGAAAAGAGCTGGGAGAACTATATTATGTGCCTGGAGCAGTAGGCAGCGCAGGTCACCAAGGGCTGAAGGCTGTGGTATGCATTTGGGCTTTTATTCTGAGAGTAAGAGAAGCAGAACCGTGCCATGATACAAGTTTGCATTTAAAAAATTCCTCTGGATGTGAGCCTGGCACCGTGGCACATGCCTGTAATCCTAGTGGCTTGGGAGGCTGAGGCAGGAGGATCAAGTTCAGTCAGCCTCAGCAATGGTGAGGCGCTAAACTACTCAGTGAGATCTCGTCTCTAAATAAAATACAAAATAGGGCTCAGTGGTCGAGTGCCCCAAGTTCAATTCTGGTACCTCCACCCCCAAATTCCTCTGGATGGCACATGCCTGTAATCCCAGCTACTTGGGAGAACTATTTGAGCCCAGGAGTTTAAGACCAGCCTGGACTATATGTTGAGACCCCCCACCCCCACCCGCACCCCAGCTCCCATCTAAAAAATAAATGAGAAAAAAAAAATCAAGAATTCTGATTCACTCCTTTTCAGTCTTTTATCTTTCTGCAAGGCTTTGCCTCATGACTCTTTAATTGATTTAAGATAATCCCAACAAAATGACCCATCCCAATAAGACAGACTTCTTTAAATCATGATAGAAAATATAGTAATTTATTGAATGTTTCTTAGGGAGTAAAGGGGAAAAGTTAACACTCTACATCACAACAAAAACTCAAAAAAAAAAAGATTTGAATATCTCCCCCACTCCCTGGCCCCCAAAGTTCCACTACATACAGCTGCCCAGTGTTCATCAAAAAATTGAAATCCTCAGCCATGGTACGTACCTGTAATCCCAGCCCCTTGAGAGGCTGAGGCAGAAAGATTGCCAAGATGGAGGCCAGGCTCAGCAACTGAGCAAGACCCTGTGCCAAAGTAAAAAGGGCTGGGGACGTGGCTCAGTGGTAGAGTGCCCCTGGGTGCCATCTCCCATACCAAAAAAAAAAAAAAGAGAGAGAGAAAGAAAGCTGTTCCCTTTCCCTTACCATCCCCCCTTCCCTCATTGCCCCCTCCCCCTCTCTCATCGCCAGTCTCAATGACTTGGTTTGCTCTGGCCAATATTAAATTAATATTAGGTTTGGCCTTTTGAATTCAACACGTTGTGCTCTTTCACTTTACATTTTTATAATATTTTCACAATAATTTAGAAAGAGAGTTGATTTTGATAGTACCTCGAGGAAGCCCAAGAAAGACTTCTCTTCAAATTGAGAAGCATTAATTTGAGTGCCTTTGTCCACTGCTCCTCAGTGTTCAGATGGGTCCTGACAGAATACCATTCCCCACTGCCTGTGGGGCCCTCTATCAGGCCTTCCTCCACGAGGATCCTGTGGGGCAGGCAGAGATCCCCCGCCTGTTTCTCAGCCTCTTCCTTGAACTGCTGCAGGCAGTCCAGGAAGGCCAAGATCGCCTGGTCAAAGGTATTATTCCAGAAAACATTTTCTCTCCCATCAGAGAACAGGGGCAGGTCAGCACAGTCACCGGTTAAAGACTTCAAATAGGAATGGTTTCCGCAGGCGATGACTTGATACCTCTGAAACTGCAGCCCAATTGCTTTGGACAGGGCCAGGAGCAGTAAAGCTGCCTGTCCCCAGGCAGCGTTAATCTCATTCCAGCCCACGGGGACGCCGGGGAGGCGGCCCAATCTGAAGTTATTGATGATACCCAAAGTTCCCTCCTCCCTGATCTCAAATGTGGCATTGAAGATGTTGGTCTTCTTCAGCTGGTGCAGCTGGACGCGCGCGTACCACAGCTGGTTCTCCACACTTGTCAGCTGGTCGGACAGTTCCTGCTGCTGCCACTTCAGCTTATTGAAGTCCCTCAGATGCTGTCTCTCCTGCAGCTGCAGCTCCACCGTCTCTGCCTGGGCTGCCCTGAGATCCGCTGCTATTCTTGCATGGTTCTCATCCACATCCTCCAGCTCCAGGGCCAGCTTGGCCTCCTCCAGTTGCAGGCCCTGCAACTCCATCTGTAGTGTCTCTCTTTGGTCCTCACCCTTCAGCACCTTGGTTTCCAGATAGCGTCTGTAGATCTGTTCATCCAGTTCTGTGAGGGCAATTTGGGAATCCAGCTGCTTTAGAAAATTGTCAGTACATTCCTCGCACAGTGGAAGATCCATCTCTTTTTGACCAGAGAGGATGTCAAACATTTCTGCGGTGGTCTTCTGGATGCTACTCAAAGTTCTCAAGGAGGTGATCTCACCAAGCAAGATGAAATTGCTGTCCCTTTGCTCCGACATCCCCCCATCATCAGGAAGGGGTCTGGAGGCACTGACTTGTAGCTCTCCACCGTCTGTCTTCTCCATGGAGCGGGCACCATCCTCTTGGGCTTCTCCTGGCTCCCCCTGCCCTGAGCTGGACATCTCCATGGATTCATCACCTTTCAGCGGCCGGTTGCATCGCTGGCACAGAAAGCGGAAGGAAGACATCCTGGACATCTTGACTCTACCTCAGGTTGAAGTTTTCCCTGGCTTTCCAGATGTTTACGATTCAGCACCTTTTTAAGCTCTTCCTTGAAGGGTGAGTCTTTATAAATGCATATCTCATTATGTCACTCGGCAACTTAAAACCCTCATGGGTACCCTCCGGGTGTTACCTGTAGATTTCCTAATAGATAAGTGATTCTCTCCCCCCACCCCTTTTCCACTCATGAGTCTTTCTACAAGGAAAATCTGATCATCTCACTGCCCTCTTTAAACATTTTTAAGGCACACCTTAAATCTTTCTAAAACTAAAATCTGATTATGGCTCTTCCCTTCTTAAAATGTTTAATACTCTTATCTCACCTTAAGATAAAGTGTAATCCTTTTTTTTTTTTCCTACTGGGGATTGAACCCAGAGGCACTTTACCATTGAGTCACATCCCAGCCCTTTCTTGTTTTTATTTTGAGTATGGGGTCTCACTTGTTAAGACTAGCCTTATACTTGAGATCTTCCTGCCTCAGCCTCCTGAGCTGCTAGGATTACCGGCGTGAGTCACCATTCCTGGCAAGTCCAATCATCTTAATTAATCACACCAAGGCCCCAGCCCATCTTACCAGCTGCTTCTCTGCATATAGGCTTCTCTGGGTTCCTGCATACTCCCTGCCTTTTATTTCTTCCAATGTATCATATTGTGCTCTCTACCTGAAACACTTCCTTCCCTTCCTTCCCTGCCAATTTCTACTCATCCTTTAGGACTAGGTTAGATGTCATTTCTACCAGAAAGCCTTCCCCTGACCTCCAAATTTAGGTTCTTTACTCTGATGAAATATTTACCAATGTTTATCACACAGAAATACAATGCACATATATGGAAATGATGAATCAAAATAGTTTGGGGTTAGACATGTAACTCAGTGATGCGGTACCTGCCTAGCATGTACAAGGCTCTGGGTACCATCCCAGCACTATTAAAAAAAAAATGTTTGGAGGTATGTATTTTGCCATCACCTCAGTCAGAGACTAAAGATATGCTGCTTCATAATTAACAGGATTAACACACTAGTCAAAATATAAAACAAACACAAATGTTTACAAGTACATCGAGATTTTCTTCAGTTAACCACCCAGTGAAGCCACGTATGTTAACCAGAAACACTTGCTCTAAAAACCGTATGAGCTTCTAATCTGCAGTTATTCTATCTGACCCTCAAAACCACTGGAAGGTGGGAAGACAGGGAGTACATTTCTACTTTACAATAAAGAAACTGAAGTGCAGTTGGCAGTGGTGGCCCAGGCCTAGAAATCCCAATTACTTCAGAAGGGGGGCAGAAAATCGTAAGTTCCAGGTGAACCTGGACAGCTTAGTGAGATCCTGTCTCAAAATAAAAAGGGCTGAGAGTACAACTCAGTGACAGAGTACTTGCCTAACATGTGGGGCCCTAGGTTTAATCCCTAGTACTTAAATTAAAAAATAAAAAAGAAAGAAAAAGAAACGAAACGAAGGTGTAGAGAGATTCCATAATTAGTCAAAAAGACTTTAGCCCTCATGACTTCTCTGAAATCTCCCTGAACCAATCAGTAACATGAGCATCCTTTACAAGTTAAGTGCAGAGCCTCTTACTTGAGTCATTCAATATTACCCAGAACATGTCAAGTGGGTCAAACATGAAAGTCAATCCTGAAATTGATTAGGAGACAGATCAATTATTTAAAATGCTTAGAACAGTGGTTCATTGTTTGCTAGGAGTCTAAGGCCATGGGTCACAGATGGGTGGGATCTCTACAAAAATCTGCATTTCTTCACCCTGACCTTCTCCCAATAGGGTTGGGCAACAGCAGAATGAGATTGGAACTAGTTTCAATGGCCTGGTCAGTTCTAAATCCTGCTTCATCCCTGAGGGTAGAATGAAGTAAACTCATAGTTGAGCCTATTTAATTACCCTTTTATTAAAATTAAATGAAAATCCAAGTCATGCTTGACTTTGAGGTTGAGTTAGCCCAGAGGGATGGTGCCTGAAACAGAGGAAGGAAGGTGTGGGAATTCAGACTCAGGGTAATCCAGCTCTATAATGCTTCCAGGCTAGTCCAGAATCCATTTGTGAGCCCTTCTTCTGTGAAGGAGTGGGTGGAGAGATGGAGTGCTGCTCTCAGTTGGAAGGAAATCCCTTCTCTTTTGCAGAGATTTCCCCTCTATTTCCTGCCTCCTCTTTACAAGATCTCATTCCTAAGGGTTGGGGAAAGGACGACAGTGAGGATTCTATAGATTGAAGGATGTTTCAGAACAGAGTTTTGTTTATTACTGTATTGCCAGCACCTAGATTAATGATCTTAACCCTTGCTGTTTCCCTTGGGCTCTTTTGCTGCAAAGCTCTGGAGAAGATTGTCTGAAGCTGTCTCTGTTGTTTCCAACTCTTTTCTTTCTCTTTTTTCTTTTTGTTTTTGAAAGGAAAGTTGGAAAGCAGGAAACCAGTGTGTGAGTGAGAAATGAAAGATGGAGAGAGACCAGACAGAGATACATTCTCGAGTTTATTTGTCAGAGCTGACAAATAAAGGTCATCTCTCCATAGAGGGAGAAAGGCAGGACAGGCTTGGATTGGAGGGCTTTTATGGGCCAGGCTCAGGGATTCCAGCCAGGCAGATCCAATGCTGGCCTTTTAAGGGTGGGGTTGATATAAGGGAGTGGTAATACGCCCTTGGGCAGGAAAGAATGGTTGGGTTGGGGTTGGTGGTGGGCTGAAACTTAAGATGGCAGCCCAAATGCTAAGCAAGGACCTTACAGTTGTTTTTGTTGTTACTAGGGATTGAACCCAGGGGGCTGAACTACATCCCCAGTCCTTTTATTTTTTTACTTTTTGTTTTTGAGATAGGATCTTGTTAAGTTGCTTAGGGCCTTGCTAAATTGCTGAGACCAGCTTTGAACCTGGAATCCTCCTACCCACAGCCTCCCATGTTGCTGGGATTGGCTCCTTTCTCTCTTAAAACCCACCCATCTTTATTCTCACCACTCCATAAAAACTCCTCTTATCAAGGTCACAAATGCTTGCCATGTCACTAAACTTAATCCCCATGGAATAGAAAGCTAAATGTGAGGATGGGAAGAGTGAGATGATCCAAGAAGGAGAAGCGGGATGCTTGTTGGTCAGTTCATGGGCAACTGAGAGGTTCATGTGCAACTTTCTGCCAGCGGTAGGTGTCCATCAGTCACCAGCCATAGTCACCTGCTTGTGGTCAAGCAAGCAAAAGTAAATCAGGGAGACAAGGGGGATGTGACCAAGTAGAGAAGGTCAGGAGGTGGACAGAAATGCTTGCTGGGAGGAAAGGACAACGTTTGGCAGAGAAAGCAGTGAATGTAATGAAAAGGCAGTCCAGTCAATGGACTCCAGTTCTGGTGGGGTCAAAGGAATGTTAAGCACCAAGGCATCAGGATATCCAAGGAGTAAACCCAGCAGGTAGTGGAGGAAGCCAGATGAGGATAATGGAGGACTTGCTCCCCATAACCTGTAACCTTTCCTCTCCTCCACCCTAAAGCAGCTGCCCTGTGGCTCCTCCAGACATGGGATACAGTATTTTGGAGTCAGACAGTGTTGGGTTCTAATCTAGATAATTAACAGGGTACTTAACCTCTTTGATGCTCAAACTCTTCCTTGGAGAATGAATGAAGTAGCGTGGGTGCCCTGGTGCACATCTGTAATCCCAGTGGTTTAGGAGCCTGAGGTAGGAAGATTGCCAAGTTCAAAGCCAGCCTCAGCAATTTAGCAAGACCCTTCTCAAGATATAAAGGGCAAAGGGGCTGGGGATATGGCTCAGTGGTTAAGTGCCGGGGGTTCGATCCCCAGCACCAAAAAAAAAAAAAAAAGAAGAAGAAGAAGAAGGAGGAGAAGGAAGCCAACGCCATCTTGGAGAATAGAAGATTAAACAAGAATAAAATATATTTTCAGTCCTCATCTGGGTTTTCATTTTTTACATTTTATATCTCTTCATTAAAAGGAAAAAAAAAGTCTTTTCTTGGAACCCCAGAGAAGAGTGGCTTCTGATTCCTAGATGTTTGACCTGCCTTTTTAACACCACGGGATCTTCCTCCTTAGCCTGCCATGAACCTCCAAAGTCTGTGTTTTCTATGGATAATTGACCTTTTCTAAAACTTGCAAATGTGAATAAAAGCTTCCTTTAAAATTTTTAAAGATTTGTACATCCATATTCATAGCAGAATTATTCAACATTACCTAAAATATGGAGCAAGGCATATGGGTGCATGCTTGAAATCTCAGTGGCTCTGGAGGCTGAGGCAGAAGGATCACAAGTTCAAAGCCAGCCTCAGCAACTTAGCAAGGTCCTAAGCAATTTAGTGAGACCCTGTCTCAAAATAAAAAAGGGCTTGATATGTACCTCAGTTGTTAAGCACCCCTGGGTTCAATCCTTGGTGTGTACACACACACACACACACACACACACACACACACACACGGAAACAACCAAGTATCCATTAATGGATAAACAGATAAAAGAAACATGGTCTATACATACAATAGAATATTATTCAGCTGAAAGAAGGAAGGAAATAATGATGCATACTATATCTTGAAGGAACCTGAAGAACATTTGCTAAGTGAAATGAGCCAGTCAGAAAAAGACAGATATTGTATGATTCCACTAACCTGAGGTACCCAGTCAAATTCACAAGGACACAAAAGTAGAAGTTTCCAAGGACTGGGGCAAGGAAGAAATGGGGAATTACTATTTAAAGGGTATGAAGTTTTAGTTTAGAAAGTTTAAAAAGTTATGGGAGATAGATGTTGGTGATGGTAGCAAAATGATATGATTTTGGGGGGTGGTGGGGTACTGAAGATTGAACCTGAGAAACTGATGTGAGTCCATTTTTGAGAAACCAGCCTCTACCTCAGAGCAAAGCCTGTCCAAGGAAGGGGGCGTGACCCTTGTCCTTGGAAAAAACCACAGAGCACTCCTAGGCACATACCCACCCTGCTGAGTTGATCTGCGGCGCCAG